TTATAATAATGGGGTGTAATATGGTTATTCACCAAATTCATACTTCTTAAAAACCCCCAAAGAAAACCTGATGGTGTATTATTTTTCTTCTTTATCAACTTCTGTTTTTAGAATTAAATCTTGCACATTAACCCAAGAAAAAAATGTACACGTATCCACATAACTCACAAAGTAATATTTAGACATCATAATACCTAAACAATAAATACAAAATATTGTTAAATCCTAAGATTATATTGTTTCTGCTTTTTTCATTTTTATTTTGTTAATTCTACTTTATATAAATTTTAAAATGATCTAAACATAGATTTATATTATAGATTTACATTGAAGTTGAAATCTTACATTATTAACTGCTACCAATTTTTTGGGGAGAAGATATATTACAAATTATAATTCTTATACTATTAGAGAAGCAAATTCATCTATTTATTATCAGGATAACGTTTTTCAATGAAGATATCTTAATATATTTATTATTTAATAATTTATAAGTACACATAAAATAAAACAAATATAAACTATTTCTATATTTCACATGCATATGTTGTGTATATATATATATATAGAGAGAGAGTGAGAGAGAGAGGTATTCACACACATATATTGTGAAAATAAACTAGCAGCAATGGAAATGGGAGAAGAGAAGAGAAAATATATTCATAGAACAACAGAATTTTCATACTACAACTCGATTCCTCTTGATGTAACGAGAGAGATACTGTTGAGATTGCCTGCTAAATCTTTAGTAAGGTTTCGTTGCGTATCGAAGCTATGGTCATCCATCACAACCCAGCCAGATTTCATCAAATCATTCGTTACTCATTCTTCAGCTCGGCCTAGTCTTCTTCTCAGCTTCAAAAGAGAAGAGAAGAGACTATTCTTCTCCTTACCACAACATGAGAATACTGATGACAAGCGTTCATCTCATGATGATGTGAGCAATAATGATATAAATCTCCCCCAAAACGATGGATACATGTCAAATTTCGAGTCTGTCCATGGCTTAATATCTTTCCATCATTGTTTAGACCATATTGTAGTTTGGAATCCTTCCATAAGGCAACATGTGACCCTACCAAAACCCGAAAACTCGATACATGGAGCAAGCTATCTAGGATACGATCCTATTGGAGATACATATAAATTATTGTGCATGCCACATATAAAAGATTATGGCATACACAGACCCGACTATGGGCCTCATGTTTCAACGTTGGGAGTTGAAGAATCATGGAGAGTAACTAAAGAGAGCCCTATGTATGGCTCGTCAGCTAGTTGGAAATGCATAAATGGAGTTATATATTATGAAGTGTATGTACCAAATGGAGGTAGTAACAACGTTGGAACATCTCATATGAAAAGAATCATAATGAGTTTCAATGTGAGGCTAGAAATGTTTAAATCAATCGAATTACCATGCTGTATGGATAATACACAGACGGGAAAGCATTCTCTGTTGAGTTACGAGGGAAGATTAGCCTTGGTTTGCTCATCGGATACAAAGTTATGGATTCTTGAAAATGCTGATAAATGGCTATGCAATGTCTTGCATTTACCTTCTCCTCAAATGGATTCAATTGGGGACATTAACTATCTTGAAAGTGATGTTTCTGTTATTGGTGAGTTTATATATGTAGCGGAATCATGGAATGATTATAAAGAGATTCATATTCTTTTTTATGATCTAAAGAAAAATAGCATCATCAGGAAAATCAAATTTGAAGGAATTAGATATGAGGAACTTAAGATTCATATTGGACTTGGCGGAGGTTGGAACACTATTGGATGCTTACCACATCACATTGGAATTGTATTCAGGGAATTTTGGAAGTTTACGCGATGTTCCCCTAATCACATTGAAAGTCTCGTATCTCTCAAAAACATTACTTGCTCGAAATTGGCTTCACTTTCTTAATTATGTCATGTGTATTATAGCTTTTGGTGAGACTTCTTCTGTTATCCTTCTAATTAAATAAGTTTGTGTTTTGCATTATTGTTACCTGTCAATAAAACTACCCATTATATTAATTTATAATGTTGGTACCAATCGATTGTAAAAATCTTCTACTATTGAGTATACTAGGTATTTATCCGCGCTACGCTGCGGGATATTTTCTAAATTTTGTAATTTATGCTAATGGCAAATGTAATTTATTATCTCTACTAAATTGCCACTTGATCCTCCTTTTAAATTATATAAAGCAAATTGACATTTAAAAAATTATTAATTAATATAATTATTTTGAATTATAAAATTTATTTATTTATCAAATATTTATTATAAACATGTGTTTCTAAAACTACCAAACTATAATCAATAACATTTATATCAAAACCATTGCTATTGCTTTATAACTAGATAAAAAGTTATATTTGATTTTTTGAAATATCAATTTAGTTGAAGTTAAATATTTCAATTTTTCTTACCATAAACATATTGTAACTTGAAAATTTAGCACAGAGAGTTTTTTTAAAAAAAAAAATCGAGAAATTGCATTTTTTCGAGAAAACAAATAAAATTCATTTTCCCACGAAACAGAGAAATCGCCTATTCCCGCTAAAAACAAAAAACATTATTTTCTCGTCAAACCTGAAATTTAATTTTCTTACCAAAACAAAGAAATAACATTATCCAAAAAAACCAAAAAATCACATTTTTCCGCGAGAACCTGTTTTTTCTGCCAAAACAGAGAAATCAAGTTTTTTTACGAAAACCCAAAAAATTCATCTTCCTGCAAAAATCAAAAAATCGTATTTTCCTGTCAAAACAAAAAAAAATATTTTTCCGCAAAAACCAAGAAATCGTCTATTCTCGCCAAAAAAAAAATTTATTGTCAAACCAAGAATCACGCCTTCCTACCAAAACAGATAAACTAAAATTTCCCACGAAAACTAAAAATTGTATTCTCTCTTGAGAAATTGCATTTCCCGAGAAAACTAAGAAATTGTTTTTTTCTGCGAAAACCAAAAATTCACATTATATGTCAAAAACTAAAAATTTGTATTTCCCATCAAAGCCGATAAATTTTTTATTCCCACCAAAATCGAGAAATTTTGTTTTCCCATCAAACCGAAAAATTGTATTTTCTGCCAAAATTGTCAAATTATAATTTCTCACAAAAACTAAGAAATCGCATTTTCCCGCAAAAATCAAAAAATTCACATTATCCATCAAAAGTCAAAAATTTGCATTTCCTATAAAAAACTGAAAAATCGTATTTTTTTGTCAAAATTGAATTTCCTCGCATTTTCTCGTCAAAACTAAGATTTTGCTTTCGCGTCAAAATCAAATATTTGTTTTCTCACCAAAATTAAAAATTCACATTTTTCCGCCAAATCCGAGAATTCACTTTTTCCGCCATAACTAAGAAATTACGTTTTCCTACCAAAACTGAAAATCACATTTTCCTACTGAAACCAAGAAATTATCCATTCCCGCCAAACCCAAGAAAATTTATTCTCGGTAACCATTGGAAATACGAATCTCCAAGCTGTGGTGGTATGAGCTTCTCCTCATTTGCTTCCGAATTCCATTTTTTTGTAAACTTTGGGCTTTTTAATGGGTCAGCAAAATAGTAAACTAATTTTATTAGTGTGTCAATGATATGTATTATTGTTATGTTTTTATTAGTTCAAATTTTTGCTGATGTGAGAGCTTCCTATAACTAACGCTTTTTGCGTTGTTGTTATGGAAGCATAGTTGATGATGAGTCTACACTTTTTTAGTCATATACATCTCTATCAAGCAAACACATAGTTAGAAATTTTAATTTTTTTTTGCTGTTATTTATTATTTGAGTTTTGGTTTGGCAAAAATATAAAACAAAGATTTAAATTTTTATTTGTTGTTATTTATTATTTGGATTTGGAGATGGTAAGTAAAAAATAAAACAATTTATTTTTATTTGCTGTTATTTATTATTTGGGTTTGTGTTTGGCAAAAATTAAAACAAAGATTAACAAAGAAAAATATTTGGGTTGGGTTTAAGTTTAAAAATAATAAAAATTAGTAGATGATGTGTATTAATAAAATGTTTTGATTGATGTTTTTTTTTTGCTGAAGTGTCAACTATAGAAAGCTTGAAAAAGCTCATGTGTCATCTCCTGGAGAAATATTTGTGTTATTGTTGTATTGATTCTTTGGTAAAGATTTCAATAGACATCATAGTTTCGTATCTTGGTTCTTAACTCTAAACAAAAATCAAATACCAATCTTTGATACAAACTTTTAATTAGTGAGTTTATTATTTAAAACGTTTCGCAAAGTACAGTTAGTTTTCCAATTCGCTCTATCTAATATATGAAAAATTATAATATATGTATACTAGTATTTTGGCCCGTGATATACACGGGCATTAGAATTTAACTAATAAAATTATTTATAAAAATAAGAATATACAAATATAAGTAGAGAATCGTTGAATAGCAAAAAAAAAACATATAATGCTTGAAAATATTAATTTTATCAGTATTCATTAGTTTTAAAAAAATATTAATAATAAAAAAGAATAATAATTAAATTAAAAATATTTACTGTTTAGTATAGATAATTGATATATAGACAAAATGATTTACGATCATATAAAAATATCTAGTTAGTAACTGAAATTTAAAATAAAAATAAATGTTTAACACTTCAATACAATTTCGAGACATTTCTGCCAAAATAAAATATATATTTTCAATTGAAAAAAATATAAAATCGTAGTTGAGAAGTGGACTTAATCTGTATATATAGTCCATTTTGTCTATTTTGATCTTTTTTTTAGTGTATTCTTATAATTTAACATTTCAAATATATTTCCTTATAAAAATAAATGTTTACCATTTCGATATTTTTCTGTCAAACTCACAAAAAAACTCAAATGAATTCCAGAAAAATTAAATTTAATGCCAATATTTTTGATCTACAAATCATCTTTGAGAATCAGATATGTGAGAATCAATTCCAGCGATGAGATTCAAAATTGTCCAACCAAATCGTGATTTGTTATGGGATGAATGTGTTCATCTTTTATCTTTTGTATGCTTTCAATAATATGTGCTGTAAATCGGTATTTGCTGTAAACTGACCGGTTATATCTATTTAGTTGGTATAATTTGATACATTTGTTTATGTAAGCTATTTGGAGTTTCAGCAAACATTGACCCAAAATTTAATCAATCTTCTCTCTCCCTCCTCCGTAATCATCTCCTCTCCTTATCTTCTTCTTCATCTCCTCTCTTTATCTTCTTAATCATCTTCTCTCCATCATATCATTTCCTGTTTCATGATTCCAGCTGAGATTTCTTTTGAACTGGAAATCCACTATCTAAATCGCGATTCCAGCTGGAATTACGAGCTGCGCATGTATCTTCTGTCCATGCCGCATTGCAGAAGCAGATTGTAATTGCAGCTGGGATTTCCTTCAAATTGATCGGTTAAAATCTGAAAACTCTGCTTCTGCTTCTTGAGAATCACATGCATCTCTGATTGCTTTGCTCATTGTTTCCCCTGCAGCGAAGACAGATTATTAAAAAAAAATTGGTTCCATACCGACCAGATAGCCCAAAGGATCTAAGGTGCCAGCAGACCATTCTCCGTTCCAGAAGGAGGTAACCACACACCTTCATTTGTTTCTCTTAGTCCTTGAACTGGGCATAGGAATTTTGTTGAGAGAATATGTTGCTGGATAGCTGCTTTTTCCCACACTTGTCTTGCAAACTGGCATTGATATAGCGTATGTGTTGTAACGTTGATCTTCTTTACTTTTATAAATCTCTATTAATATTAGAGTTATTGCTAAATAGATTTGGATTGTGTTTCTGTTTCTGTGTTTTGTGTTTTCTGTTTTGTAAATTATAAAATGAACTCACAAAAAAAATCCAAGTTAGAAAAACTCTCTAAAATATCACATAAATTGTAGACAACCTAATTAACTTCATATAAAGCAAACTCATACCTAAAAAAACAAAGTTGCAAAGTTAAACATATAGAATCCTATATATACAAATCGAGATAAATAATAAATCCATTTTGATTGATGTGTTTATCTGTTGATGCCCATATCTGAAGACGTCTTTGACACATGTACCTGAAAATAATATTCTTGAGCTGTTAAGAACAGGATCGCTTGGAAAGAAAATCCATGACTATTTAAATATAGTTACTACCTTAACATTCATCAAAATTGGCTGAAATTCTGAAATATTTCTTTATATACAACATTTGTTGTTTTCTTGTTAATATTGCTTGTATACGGTCTCCCCGTTAAATTAACAACAACAGAATCGGGAATTGAGATCGTGGTATAAGATATTATATAGCAAATGATGTGTAACAAAATAAAAACTTGTATAGGCTTACACACCTTTTCATCCATAAGTATTAAATCAAGTCTGCTAGCATCTCCAGGCTTGTCATTGTTTTGGAATCGCCATACGCGGTAATTCAAGCTTTGATTTTCCAAATATTATTTTCAGAAACCAGTTTTGGTTGAGCTATTGGTGTGAAAGGAAGTTTCATCTTTTAAGCAATCACAATTTGTAGTACCTGAAATAGAATTGCAGAGAAAAAGCTTAAATTACAGATCTATGGAATCTGAAAAATTGAGTATAAAAGGCTAGAAATAGAGAGCTAAAAGATCTCCATTAAAGTAGTTATGATTTTTTTATCTTAACGTGAAATGATTATATGGTTTAACAGTTCTGATATATTATAGAAACTGGGAAGTTGAATGGGAAATAGAGATCGTGAGTTTATATACAATGAAAACGTGTTTTTTTTTAGTTTAAATAAATAAAAACATTCTATAAATTCGACAGAAGATTTTTCTAAATCAAGTAACGAATCTGGCAAAAAAATTATAATTCAAATAAATAAAAATCCAGAAAAATCACCAATTTCACTTTTAAAATCATTTCTCAATCAGAATAACAGAATTACTTTTATCGACATCACAAATAAGCATCTCAAGTTTGCTTCCACTTTCTGATGCAAGATTGGCGTGCATCTCGACTGTCATGGCATCAGCCGCCTGTCTTAGTTTTGCCACGACAACCAGTTTCAAGATCTGAAAAATCTGAAATAGAGACACCAATTTCTAACCAATTTCATAAATTGTTTATGCTATGTACTTGATATAGGTTTCGATTTTGAGAGCTGAGCGTGGTTTACAAAGAAAAAGGAAGAGGACCTTTGTCAAAATAAAAGAAGGAAGAAGATCATGGTTAAGAGAAAGAAAAAAAAAGAAAAAATTTAATAAAAAACACTTCGTTCTTTTTGTTCAGAATGTAATTACGTCAACAATAAATAGCTATATCTATATATATTTATTAACCTTAAAAAGTATAACGTAAAATAAAATTGAAAGCTAAGATTTAGGAGATTATTTTATAAAAACTGATGGATATTTTAAATTAAAAAAATGTTAAAAAGACACATGTCAGATGGAGAATTGCCAACAGACTTGTGCTTTATAAGTATAAAGATATATATACTAGGTGATCGGCAAAATATTTTATATGTCGAATTATGATTAATATAGTATTGAAAATGTTTTATTTGTATATGGTTAATTATGTATTAATAATAAAATAATAAATATCTAATAATAAAAATAATGATCAATTAAATACAAGGTATAAAAAATATTATATATTTTAATAGAAATGAAGATAAAAATATTAACTAATATTTAAAATATTTCTTTGAATAAAAATGTAAATATGTTAGCTAAATAAATGGGAAAATAATAAAATATATAATAATTTATTTAAGTTTTATTTTTGGTCCGCATGTATGTGCAAGTATCATTTTTTTATAGACATAATTAGTTGTAATATTTTAGTATTAATTAATTTTCTTATACATTATGTAAATGTTATATTTTTATACATATATAACTTTAGTATTCAACAACAATCACACAAACGTTTCATATCGTTTCGTGTCTCATGAAAACTTCATATTTTTTTCTAGCATTTACAGTAAGATATAATTGCAAATGTAAAAATTATATTAAATAATAATATTATCTATATAATACTTTTTTTTCTTGTTACATAATATAATATTGCCAATATATATATATATTTTTAAGTATATATTTTTCCTTGACCTATTGCTAATTAAACCAAAATGAATTTTACCATATTTATTTATTCTAGGAGCGGTGAGATGTTTGGTAAATAATGATTTTTTAAAAAAATATAAATTATCTAACAACTAAAATTAAAATTAGAGTATAATCGAGGTTAACAAAATGTATGCACGTCAAGTTTGTATGCTAGTTTGACTTTTCACAATTAATATTTATATTTACACGCATATTTGTATGAAAATTGAAGTATGATTTTTATGTGTTAAAAGAAAAATACAAAGTATATGTTATGTAATATATATTTTTATAATAAATGGTTAATTTTTTTTATTAAAAAACTAACAAGTATATTTATGCATGTAGGTATGAGTTAGAAATAAAGGAATTATAATATTTAGGAGTTGATAAGTTTTCTTCTGGTATTTTTCGCAAACATTATCTTTTTACACGATGCAGTTATTGGCGTTTAACAATAATCACGAAAATTATTTCTATCATTTCTATTGTATTTAATCAAGGTTTCTTATTTTCAGCGTTTGATGATATATGGTCTCTCAATAAAAATATAATAAAATTTGTGAAATCGTATTTTATAAAATTTCCCGGTAGCTCTCCGGTCATCTTTTCGTCAATTTTTTTATAATCTGCAATCTCTCGCTTCCACAAACTCTCTGTAACTGAATCGTTTAAACCAATCAGATCTAAACTTATATATGTATGATTTAAAGTGTTAAATAATATATTTTATATTTGATTGTTATTAAAAATTAAGAGTTGATTTGTTCCTAACTTTAATATATTTGTTAATATAAAATATAATGGATTACAACAAATACAAAATTTGATTCATGAAATAATGTTGTAATATATTAGAAAAAATATATGCATGAAAGAATTTATATGTCTAAAATAATATTTTTAAATATTTCAAAAAACTAAAAATCGATCAAAATTATTCTTATTTATATTTTTGTCTTCTTTGACTCATACTTTTTTTCCTTAACAATTTATTATATATTAAATATTAAGATTATCTCCAATATATTTTTCTATTTTTTCTTCTAAAATATAAGTGGACTTCTCTCCAACCTATTTTTATTTTACAGAAAGAAAAAAAGATTGTTATTTTTTCCTCTATAATTGGAGGAAAAAATAACAATTTTTTTTCCTCTAAATTAAGAGATTTAAAGGTGGGTTGGGGATGCTTTAAACCAAAAATATAGTCTGAGATTTTTACATTAAATCAAAGTCATAAATATTCAGTTTTATTTTTACTTCTACTTTTTATTCCTATATACAGTATTATAATAATAAAAAATTAGCTAAGAGAATACTTATAATTTGTTTTTCTATCTGTTTATTTTTTTGTTTCATTTATAATTTCGAATTCTTGCTATATAATGAAAATTTATTCATATATGATATAAACTATTTTTTTATTTAAAAATAAGATTTATTTAGTTTTAACTTAACCAATCAAAATATTTCATTTATTTAAAAAAAATTGCCATACTACATTTATAAAGTGACATTATTTTGCATTAACTTTTTTCAAGATATTAACACATATAATTTTTTAGTAACTCTGCTTCTCAAATAATAGTTGGGACATATATCAGATTGTAGAATCAATTACTGGTAATGGAATACTGTATGTGTGTTTTAGCGAAATTGTATATGATCATTGAAAAACTAGTTTTATATTGTGCTGCATCCACAAAATTTGTTGACAAAAAAAGAAATTTTATGTTTTCTGTATGCGGTTTAGACGATGAAAAAAAATGTCACGAGTCACCAGTTTTACTGGTTCAACAAACCTATAGATATCTAAACTATATTTTTGATATATTATCTAATATAGAAAAAATTATTATATACTTAACTAGATTGTAGACGAATCCATTTTTGGTAATGGAGTTTGTGTGTTGAGCACAATTGTATTAGAAAATTGAAAATAATTTGTATTGCACCAAAAAGAAAAAAAGTTGTTGACAAAAGAATTTAGCTGTGATGAGTTGTATAAACAAAAATAGCCTTGAGCAAAAAAACAAACCCGAAAATCCGAACTGGAACCGATCCAAAATAATCGATTCGAATCGGGTTCGGTTATAGACTATTTATCCGATGTGTATTAAATTTAGAAACTGTGGATATCGGATCGGTTCCGGTTCCTACCCGATATCTGATCGATTAACCGAAATAAAATTCCCTTATGTATTTAGAGTTTTGTAGAGCGATTTCCCGACGAACTAGATGGACCCACATGTCGATCTACATGCCGTTACATAGGTCTCACAGTCAGCTATCCAGATCATATTTCCGTTACTAATTCTGAGTTATATTCAATTTGGAAATCAGTTTTTAAGTTGACGAAAAATTCAGTATTTCGAGAAAAATTCACTCCTATCTATCGGTTCCTTAGGACTACCATTTTTTTTGGGTATTTGGTTACATTTCGGGTATATGGTTATATTTTCAATGATTTCAGGCCTAATCGGGTAAAGAAAAACCGAACGGAACCAAAATTATAAAAAATCGATTTTTTGGGTTTTAAACAGTTCTGAGATTTAAGAACCAAACCGACCCAGAACAGACAGGAACCGAACTGAATCCGAATCGAAATCCTTTCGATCCTTATATGGGTATAAAATTTTCTTATCCGAAAGAACCGGAAACTGATCGGGTCGGACTGACCCGAATACCCGAATGCCCAGGGCTAAACAAAAACATTTAACAGTTGTACTAGTTCAACAACAAACACGTGATTACAACATGGCTTTATTGCACAAAATAACTTATTATCTCAGTTTGTTCAAATTGCACTTTCACCCTATTCTATCATTTTACGACGAGGGAGAAAGTAAGCAAATTTCACACGTAACTCATCTTGGTCTCGGAAAAGGCCATCACACATTTAAATGTAATTATCAAACTAAATATGAAGATGAAAAAAAAATGTTACACAGTATATATATATTACCTCATTATAGACCTCAGCAACACTCTTCTTGTATTGACTATGCATTTGCAAGATCTCCAAAAACGATCCGT